CTGCCCCTCTGCCCCCCGCCTCCCTCTGAGCGGGCCGAGGCCGTCGAGGGGACGCTGTGAAGTGGTGTCAGCAGAGCGAGGGTCACGGTTATTTGGCAAACTGAGCGCTTGGCTCCGCTGCCGAAGTGAGTAATGAGCCGCGCTGGACAGGGTGCGGCGTGGTTCACTGCTGCTGGCAATTATCTTCTTGGTGGCGAGAGCTGCTGTTAGACCCTGATAAACGAGTTGCCTCTTTCCAAGCTCTGTCGGTGAGCAGGGAATTGGATCTGAGCGGGTTCGGTTGTCAAGGCGGTAGGCGGTGAGTCACGACCTGGATTCGTCGTTCCCCAACCCCCGCCTCCCCAGGCAAAGTCGTGTGCGTTTCTGAGAGGATGCTTACGATGGCTGTCCTTGCAGGGCTCTAGAAACAGGGGAGGAAGCTGTGCATAAGCCATTAATATCGTGTTATTCCAAGAGAAGCTTTACACAGACTTGCAAGCAAACTTTCTGGGAAGGCTTTGCCCCAGTCTTCAGAGGGTACTGACACTGACAAACTGACTCTTTCTTCCCCACCATTAGTAAGTGACCGTCAACATCCTTTCAATCATAGGCCTCCCCACAGAGTTTACGAAACTACTCCTTGAGGTATTTTCTGCGCTTTAGTTCATCATACTTCCCTAAGAATCCGTAGAAGACAAGCTCTTATAAGATTACATGGGCTTGTTTTAGAGCCAGTGATAGCTAATTATCCTGATTATTGTGTTGCCACTGCATTTCTTGCTGACTTGAATAAAATGTTTATTTGCAGTGTCCATGGGGAGCCCCTAACACAACATCAATATCATGTTCCCTTGCTGATGTAATGAGTGAACAGCTGGCGAAAGAGCTGCAGCTGGAAGAAGAAAATGCTGCTTTTCCTGAAGCGGTTGCGTAAGTTTAAATCCTGGATTAATGATCTCCATAGTTGTGAAGCCATCTTCTATCTCTTGTGCACTTTCTTACAATGTGCTTAATGCATAGCAATATAGTAAATACTTTGCCTATTATCTCCTAACTCTGCTGCTTCAGGTCTTTTTCAGTGAAGATGGCTTCCCCAGTTAAAACTCTTCCTTAGATTCTCTTCTCGGTCACCCTTCTTTCTTGATATTTTCTTCACATTGTTTTGGGTGCTTTACGCCAGTCTGTAAGCTACGTTTTGAGAAACGTTGTCAGAAAAGTTTTTTTTCTTCCCTTTTAGAGACTCTTGTTAACAGTGTACAATGTTATTTCAAGAACTGTCAGGCGTATCACCTGTATCCTCCTAATACTTGGAAGCTCTAAACACAGGCCAAGAGCTTACTAGTTCTAAACTCATACAAATTTTGCCTGTGGTCTTTTCTGTGAGGCAGAGCAAAGCAACACTGTTGTTTGTTTTTTTTAATTTGTTTTTATTTATAAAAATATAAAAACGTATATACACCCCCCCCCACCTCTATGCCTTCTTTCTCTTTCATGAAGGGCATCTTAAAAATAGAGCCTAATGCTTCTTACAGAACAGTAAACAAGTAAAAGTTTAGGTAATATTTGCATTGTAAAGGAGTGGCAAAGAGAAATGAAGTCATGCGTTATTAGTATTTAGTGTTGACTTGGAGGGGGGGGCGGACAGTTGAGATCCATTAGTTTCTATGCAGCTCTGCATGAAGTCTTTTGTATAGAGTGATGAAATGGTATAAAGCAGTGTTTCTGTTTGGATTACTGTGTTTAATTTTTTCAATTTCTGTTTTCATTTTACATAGTGTTGCTGAAGGACCGTTTATTACAGGAGAAAATATTGACACTTCTAGTGACCTAATGCTAGCTCAGATGCTGCAGATGGAATTTGACAGGGAATATGATGCACAGCTTCGGCGTGAAGAGAAGAAGATCAATGGAGATAGCAAAGGTACCCTCATCCAAAGAAATATTTTTGCTTTGGAGATATTCTTGGCACTCTGCTTAAGTTGGCAGAGCTGCAAGGAAGTAGCAAATCCCTGATAATCACAGACATGCTTATTTGTTTTGTTTCTCAAGTCTCCATATCCTTTGAAAATTATCGGAAGGTACATCCCTATGACAGTGACAGCTCAGAGGATGAGGTTGATTGGCAGGATACCCGTCATGATCCCTATAGAGCAGGTACGTGGCCGTTTTAAGCGATACAATTTCTTCAGTTAATAGACCTAAGAATACGACATAGTTAAATTAGTTTTTTTGAATGTAAGGAGACATACCGGTTGTATGTAAAATCAGGTCACCCAATTGGGAGGTGTTATGCAGGAAGTTGGGCGGGTAACTTCAGGCTTCTGTCTGCCAGTATATTGGCTTCAGTGGCTGAATCTGGTAAAGTAACTGTTGTACATGGAAAGTATTGTGGGATATGCATACCTGTCATCTACATTTGGCTAGGGGCATCTGCACATGATATTGAATATTCC